CAACGAACCGGTTGCACTCGCAACAGCCGCGTCGCGTGGAATTCCCCGAAGCTGCCGTCCGGGTAGGTCATGCTGACCAGGAAGCGATTCTTCGTCGCAGTCATAAGTTTAGGCTACAGCCAACCGCTATCATCAGCTGACCGATGAGCATCGGTGAGCCCTCGCATTCCGTTTTAGCAAACAGAAATTTTGCAATACTCTCTATGTCATAGTTGGGTGATGAACCCGACCCCATTCTATACTTCCTCTTCGCGTCAAGGATAGTACTCGTATTTAAAACCGCCAACTGGAGGAATTCTCGCTTCAGAGCTGGTGAGTATCCTTAGGTCCCGTCGGTGACGTTTTTGAAAAAAAAATTCAAAAGCCAGCTGTCTAAAATTCTGTGTTAAACAGCGCAATTATGAGGAATGTTCTGGTTTGGATTTCAATAGAACTCTAGCATGGCATTGTTTTGTAACAGGTCAAAAAATAAAAACAGAGTTGAAGATCGAAAAATTGATATTTTGTCTAATCAATCGGTCAAAAAGTCGAATTTTTCCGATGACAAGCATCTGCTATCTCATTGATTCAATTATGAAATGTATATAATCTTCTTTCGCTTCTTTGGACATGAGCAGCCGCAGCACTGCTTACATAGACTACGTCACGTGGCATCATGCCAACATTTTGTCCAAAAAAAAAAAAAAAAAAAAAAGAAGCGGAAGAATAAACATATACAAATGCCCCATTGAGAAAAACTAAAAGCAGGGACGTCCAGGAAGCAACAATTAATCAAACCTACGTACGCAGTTCGCCCTCACCTATAGAATGCAGCCCGTTTTGGACTAGGTACATACATATCATTTCTCCAAAAATAGAGACAACCCCTGTAATTTCAGATGTTCTTGGGGGGTACCAAGGCGCTGCCAAGCAAAGGAGTACAGTACAATGACGTGTGGCATGGGGGTGGATGTTCAAAAACACATGTATCATACAACCCTTTATTTCTTGTTAATCTTAACAGCGGCATGGAGTATATTTTCAACCAATTGGTTGAAAATATGAGAGTCCCTAATTTGCGGGGAATATTGCGTGTACACAAGGGCTAAGTGCGAAAATAGGAATTCGACCACAGGGCTGACAAGTGATGCCGAGATTACTCCTATAATAGATAATAGACATTTCAGCCCAGAATGTTAGGTCACTGGGGCAAAAGAGCTCTCTCACACCAGCGCCATGCTGGTAGTAGAGGGGACGAACCTATCCATACCCCCCAACACAACACAGAAGGCTGATTCGTAAATTGCATTACGAATTACTAGTAATTTGCATGAAATGGTTTGCTGATGAATGCACGCAGTTTATTGATTGTACCGTGCAATCTCATTACCAAGTTCGGATATCTACCACGGCTACAAATAAAGAACAATATCCATAACATTTTCCTTTTTGCTCATAAGTGGGACTCAATTCGCACTTAAGCCAGTCAGGGATTCCAAGAAAAAAAATGAGAGTTTAGAATTTTATTCCTCCCCAAAGAAAGGCAACGACTCAACGAGATTGCATTTTACAGATGATTTGTCGACTTGAACGCCCCAAAATCCTCCAAAAACGTGCAGGAAAAGACGCGTGGGGTTATTTCAGGGGATAGGGAAGATGGTTGATTTGCTGAGACCGGGGCGGAGCAGAGGCACTAACCCGGATTTCCCGTGTCCCTCCCGGGTAAAATAGTTACGGTTTCAACCGGGATGGATGGATGGCTCCACGAAAGGTCGATTATTTTAGATAAGAACGGGGTTGCTGCTCCGGCTCGACATGTCAGGAAGTACGGAGAAGACATACAAGTACTCCGTATTCTAAATGAAAATGTTAATGTCTCGGATTCAGCTGTCACCCACAGCTGGTGAAGAGAACACACCTCTATCACATGTCTACTGCATTGACGGTGGCATCTGTGTCTTAGGGCTTTTGTGAGAGGTTGAGATAAACGTTGGATATCTCCGCACAGGTTTTCGGGGCTTTTTTCTCAGACATAGTACGCTACCGCCACTGACGGAGGGACAATGCGTTGGGTGTCACGTACTTCCAGGAATACCTTTTCAAAGGATAATGTCAGACGAGAGAGGGCACGCACTGCACTGGACAACCAGCCCTCTAGCTCAACAATGAATGCGAGGGGGAAAAATTGCGGTGTAAAACACGAAATAGCGGTGGAGGGATGGATATTTACACCAAGAAGCAGGCTATTTACACCTGGCCAAGAATTAACTAAGTTTAATATAAGTTTAATGCATACAGCAGCTTTACATGCATAGCAGCTGGCCCAACTCTTTAGGGGCCAGTGAATCATTCTGATATAGTCTCGCCCCTACATTCTACTACCTCTACCTCGATATCTGATCCTTCTGTCCGAATCCCTTCCCATATAACACCGCATTACGCCGTATATTATATAGCTTTCTCCTCGTAGAGTCCTAAGGACCTCTCCTTGGCCCGCCGCTTACACTATAATCAATATGGTATAATAACATCTATAGATTTAGAGTAATATAATATATATATGATTTCTGAGAGAGTAGTTATTGATAGTGACAGTGGTACCTCTTCATCTACAGTATCTCTAGTACTTAATCTCTCATTTTCTTCTACACGAGCAATCCGTCACTTTGGCATTTCGTCTATAATCATCAGACTGTTCAAATCAAACGTTTCATAAATTCTATTATAACATATATGTACTTTCAACAAATTAGTCAGTTATTTTGAGAGATTTTGACTGATGAAGAGGATACAAGAGATGAAATAGTAAATCAGCTGTTTTATTTCTAGTAAGAATATACAAGATATATGTCAAGGAGTCACTTCGCTAGTAATCACAGAAACCGTGAATTGATGAGTGAGACGAGAGTGTGATAGTTGAATAGATGTATCATGTAGGGGTTCTTCGTGACGGTTAGAACTACATTTGAACACTAGTTATTTTTGTGTGTAAAGCTCTTGTATGCATTAAACTCATTAAAATATTAGTCAATTCTTGGCCAGGGTGTAAATATCCATCCCTGGTGGAGGAATGCTGGACGCTGCAGATTTTAGGGAAATGCAGAGATTAGGACAGGCAGGAATTCAAGCCAAAGCCATCGGTTGGCTGTTGGCAGTTGCCGGGATAGCTGCTTGACTGCAATAATCACGCACACATGCCGCAGGTCTTGTGATCGGGGAGTGCATCAAGGATACAGACAATGGCTACCATTGCTATCATGACCCTCAGCGGGTTCTGTCTTTGATGCGACACGTCTGTTTCCCGGTTGGAATTGGCGATGACCGCCACTGATGCTGGTTGTCGTTTTTCTTCGGTCAGCGATAGATCTTTGGAACCTTGGAAGTCTGGGGGTTCACATGTAGTAGGAAAGAAGATAAACATCCATGGATATTTTTAAAATTGCCTCTGCCAGTCAGTCAGACGATTGCTCAGCTCAGCGGCGCCAGCAAGAACCTCATCTTGTCCGTATCAGGCAACCACCACGAAATTCGGCTGCGCCCAGCAAATCACACGGGCTGGCGCTGCATTGGACGCTGTCTTGGATGGCTATATTTTTACATTTTCTTCTGATATTTTCTTAAGATGCCTAACCCCGGCTCTTCCATGGCCGCCAATTTATTTCATCCCCGCCTGCAGCTGCATGAGTTTCCTTGCATACATCGAACACGTTGGCCCCAGTCCCGTCCGTTCCCTTCCCGCCCAGCCGCAGTTCTTAACTTATCTCTCTGTCTCCCCAGGCTGGGAACCTTGTAAGTTGTAACAACTCACAAGACTTCCTCAAAACCAGCTTACAGGCACCTCCCGCTAGCTTCCCATGGCCCGGCTTCTTATTTGGCTGCCCAACCCATCCCCCAACCCGGCACTCGCGCCTTGATCGGTGACGGGCCGCCCCGAATGATAACTTGGCAAACATTATTCTCGACGATCCGTCTTCTGCAGCCAATGGAATGGAACACCGATATGGATTTGCTTCTTTTGCCTCCCGTCTGCTGGTTTCCCCTTTCCCGCCCTTCGCTTGAAAGTTGACGGGAAGCTAGAGGAGCAAAGTAGAAAATCATTGGCCGACACTTCAGCCGAGAGCCGTGCAAGAAAAAAAAAAAAAAAAAGGAAAAGAAAAAAGCATGAGCAATCCGAGAAATCGACTGACCACAACATTCCCTGTGCTTGACATGGAACCATGACTGATGTTGCACCCCCAGACACCAGCCAGGGAGGCAGGCAGGTGGACTCTCAAGTTTATGCGGGCAAAGCATGCAGGCGCGGGGCATTGCATCGCATTGCGATCATGTGCTTGTTCATCCTCCCATTCATCTGTGACGACATGACATGATCGTAGAATGAGCGAAGTAACCTACTTGCGCCACTTTCTTTCTCTTCCTTCTCCACAGAGCGCGAGCTTGCTGGAGGGCGAATATCCCGCTGAGATCGGAAGGTGTTTTATTTTTATATTCATATTTCTTTTGGTATGAACTAGCAACTGACGTGACAGCCATGGCGAGGCTGCGATGACACCCCTCAACCCGGCTCTCTCTGTAGATATGAGCAACGGAGAGGATTCAGGCCCAAAGGATACAATCCTGATACCTGCCCGACAAGGTTTGATCGGCTTATCCAGTTCTTTCCCATGATCGCTTAGACAACAGTGCAGAAATCAGCTAACTCCTGATAAACCCACTTGCATATGGCAACATGCGTGGGAAGCAGCTCTATCCATGTTGGACCGCATTCCCAACTTTGGGTGGTATCGGTAAGGGAAAAACAGCAGGTACCATACCGTTTTGATAATACGGTACACCAGCGTGCGGAAATACGCAGACGATACCGAACAGAACGACCGAACGGCGCCGTACTCGAATAAACCCCTGCCAACCCACGTTTTGTTCGGGTCAATCGGGGCATCCCTGCAATCCGCACCCAGCACTGGCGACGGCCAATCGAACGGGCGCCTTCTTGCTGCCGTCCCACCCCAGCCTGCACCTCCGCTAACCGGGCTCGGCGGCTGTCCTTCGCTGTCGTCGTCCATCGTACTCTGCTACTGCGTACTGTGGTGACTATAGGGCAGCGTGGAATCTGGAGTCCGGAGACCTGAGTCCTGGAGTGGCAGCACAAGGTCCATCGGACCAGTCACATGGCGCATATGCAAGCGTTTTTGCTCCCTAGCTGACCTTCGTGACGAACCCTCTTTTTTCTTCCTAGTTCCTGCTCTCCCTTAGTCCCGCCCCCCTGTAGGCTGTTGGGTGGTGCCCCATCCATCGCGGGCACAGGCCAATCCGGCGTTGTCTCTGGGCTGGCTAGTCGGTGCTAGACTGCGTCTGTCCGTCCCAGCAAACAGGCCAGGAAATGGGTAAACGTCGCCGCTAATGCAAGTTTGTCACCGCCTCCCTTGCGTAATCCATCCGACTATCTTTCACCCAAAATGGCACATCTCCACTCGATACCAGTGAGAGCACGGAAATGCGAGACGAACTTGAAGTCAAGGAAGTAGACTTGGTCCCAGCTGGTGGGTAACCCAGACATCCATTTGGCTGGGCTAAGTGGGCTGCCTGAGGTCGCAAAACTCACAGGGACACGCAGGACATCTGGGCTTTGGATCCCAACTGGCCCATTTCCATTCGATCTTTGCTTGATTTTCATTTTTCGTTTGCAATCCCTCGGCCCCCTCGCTACCCAACTCTGGTTCCACACAAACTTAAATCACACCTTATCCTTGTCTTCCCGCCTAGACCCGCATATGATTTTGGTCATGTGTTTGGAAAGCAGCCAATCCGAGCTCGCCATGACCATGCCACCAAGACATGGGGGATTTGGCCATTCTTGGCTTCTCATTGTCCTGAACAATCAGATTTCAGGCGTGGCGGGCTTGTCATCGCTTCATCGTATGGCTGAGGAAGGAGCCCCAGTGATACAGGGCGAGAAAAGAAGAAGAGGGAAGTTATATCTCAGATGCACATCCCTATGAAGAAACTGTGGAAGCTCCTGGGACACATACGGACAACCGAGATTGATATCCGGAGCCACGACATTTGCATACAGAACAACAGAGTGACAATTTGGCACACCTTCGGTCACGGAGTTTTAAGTACCCCGTATTTATCCATCCAGATGATGCAATGTTGTCGCAGGAACATTACTATTACGACTGTTCTCTTCTCATCCACGACCACGGGGAAATAATGGCTGATTCACCAGGAACAGAGCCTGTTTAGAATGCGATACACAAAGTGCAACACTGTGCATCTGCTATACTGAGCACATTTACGATGAGGCCCATGCCTTTGTGGTCTTTACAACGGCCAAAAGATCTCTTTTCTAATTTTTAAACGGGCGGATGCATATCTCTTCAGGAACATGCACATCCTGGCTGCTCCTCGAAGCTTATTGTTATTATTGTTTCTTGCAGATTTTATTCTCGCCGAAATGAATAAAAATGAATGATCCACATTTTATCTCATAAAGCCATAAAAACGAGGCGACGGGGAGATAAAAATGCCTGCCCGATCTGTCACTTTCTCGACCTATGAACCTTACTTACTTCACTGATAGGGCTAACGGCTATGATCCCAATAATAAAAAAGAAAAAGAAAAAGAAAAGAGAGAGAAAGACTATGGTTATTAGCTGAATCTGCGCCACTGATATGAGCTCATCACCAGTTATCAATGAGATGAGCCATTGATCTCCGCACCGCTACTGGCTTCCGCGCTTTAGTTTCTGTCAGGTTCGCTCCTACAAATCTAGCCAATATCGCCGTCCAGTTCGCGTCCAAATGTGAGATAGGATGTTTTACTTTTCGACTTCACTCTTTGGCCCTAGGCGCACATACATAGTGAACTCAAAAAAGTTAGTTACATGCATTTGCGATAAACTGTATGTGGCTCCGTACACCACACATCCCTGCACGGACGTGATTACCAGACAGACCAGACATTGCCTAATCCTCAATAGGGAACGCAATTATATCGAAATCTTCTGTTGCTCCGTATCGTGCATTTTCTGCAATAAAAATTGGAGGAGTGTGTGATTGACAACACAACATCACTGGACTTTCCATAGCCCTGACACCAAGAATTTCTCATTCCCAACTGGATGATTGAAACGCATTGGCGTGGGCGGAAGAGGCGGAGAGGGGAAGCTGATCCCTCCCTTCTGGCAACTTCTCCATTATACAAAAAGTACTTGAGTGTACTTCTATTTGCTACAGTGATATCTACTTAGGGCAACTTGCAGAATCACACCAATCCATCATTTGCACCTTGAGGGGAAAGGATTGGCGCTCCTAATATTCCCTCCCCTCCCAAACTACTGATCTGACGTACGTGTGTTCTGGATAATTGTGCCACGGCTACCCCAAGGTGCACATATCTGATGATTCAAAATGAGTAGGGAGACATATATATTATCCCCTCTTTTTTATTATGCCTGTGTTATACGTTAACCTGGGTACATTTTGTGTGCACTGTCTATCTATATAGACAACGCGGCAGTTCTCAGCAAACATGTTGTTCTGACTGATGTTATTCTGACTGAGACTTTTAACAGCGATCAAGGGCGATTGTTTCCAAGTCTGCAAGGCTAAGAGGATGGCATATGCAGTAGTGGTTACAGTGAATCTTGTCTCTTGTCTGTTGTTTTTTTCCCCTTCCTTTCCATTTGAGCTGTTGAACCGAATTATAATAATTATTATAGAGGGCAGCGTATGTATACTATTACTATGTCTCTGCATTTCAAACCCTCGCCAGAAGCTGCTTAAAGATTCACAAGAGTTTATATCTATATATGTACAGCCCCATAGTATCCTGCGAGCAGATTTCTTTTCCAGATGCATATGGTAAGGCTGACGGAACCCGCCCCCCGGGGGAAGCCGGGGTGGAGAACGAATTTATGAAACCCCCCTTCAGTGCTCGTTACGTGGAAGGAAATCAAGAAACAAACATGCCATCGATAACCCCCAGTTGTCTATCTAGGATTTGCATACTATATATACTATTGTTTATTGTTACGTGTAGAACACAAGAACTGTAAGAAGCACTCTGCTTTGCATTTTCCGGGTCCTTGGATAAATGTAATATATAACTGCATCACCAGCTCTATCCATACGATGGATGAAAACCCCCGCGCGCTCACCTGGATGATACTTACTGTACTTTCTACAGAGCTAGGAATAGAACAGAACAGAACAGATATATTTATATATAATATTATATATATGTATAACCCTGCGTATATAGGGAGGATCACCGCCCCAGCTTAGCAATTTTACCCGCCACAGGTTGCGAGCGCGCTTTCAGGGGCCCGTTCAGCGGGCGCATCCATTTTGTTCCAAGTTTGTCCAAAAAAATAAATAAAAAAATAAATAAATAAAATAAAATAAAATACAAATAAAAGTAAAAAAGTAAAAAGGCAAAAAGCAAAAGCAAAAGAATAAAAATATAAAGAAATAAAAATTTACTTAGGTAGAATTTATAACAGCTCTGCGAATTGGATAAGAAATGTCTGTAACTTAAATCTGTTCGCAAGACGGGCCCACTTAAGCTGGGGTTCCACCTCTCTCGGAGAAGAATTAAGTTGGAGGTTCTTACCATCCTACCAGTCGAGAGAGGAAGGGCTTGTTCCAACCAAATGGAGACATGCAATTCATGCTCGAAGTTTCGTCCTGGGATAGACTAGAAAGGTGGGGAAAGGGGAGACAAGGGACCAAGAGTCAAAAAAATAAAGAGGAGCAGGACAAAGGAGTAGAAAGAGGGAAGACAACGGGGCAAAGTCGAGTGGAGGCTCGGGGATACGAGCGAGCCCTCCCTTTCTTATGTTTGGTTATTAAAACAAAACGCAAGTTTGTAACTGTTGACGGTTGTGTATGCTTGGGAGACGCCCGAGCCTGCACTGTTTGTGAGGGCTATCTGCATCAATAGACGGTAGGCTTCAATAATGATAGGACAAAATCTAAAAATCTGCATTGAATGGATACAATTTTTTGAACTTCGGAAGTTGTTGACTGGAGATGCAAGGGCTTTCTCCACGGATTGGCTTCTTGCATGGGTCCCAATGATCGGGATAGGGTACCAGTAAATGCAAAAGGATTGGGTAGGAGATATACGGGAGGAAAACAACACGACTAATAAGGCAAAATAAATCCTAGCAGTCCTGCTGCATAGGCGAGTAGGGAAGGTTGCTTGGCTAATACCAAAGCATCCGGCACCTGAGTTACTCTTCTAAGGGCCCATATTTGTTGCATTAACCAGGATCTAGACAGATGGGAGAGACCACCAGCATCTTTCAGCATGTTACCTCTAACGACGTTACTACTCTGGTTCGTTGGCACCTTCGCCAGATTCACTATGGTCGGAGTCTCCATCGATATCATCGCCGGTATGATCTTCCCCTAAAGGAGGGTCAGGCATCACAACACTGTTTAGATATGTGACCTATCAGTAGTTATGCATGTTAGCCCCAAAAACTCTTGAATCGAGTGGATGAAAAGTATGATGAGAAGGTTATATGAAATTATTGGAAAGCATCAGCGCAGAATCGCTAGGTTGATGGGGAGTCCGGGTTGAGGACGCAGGAGTGCCCTAAGCTGGGTAACTTCCCGCACGAGGTCTGATTTGCGACTGTATTATTGAGAATTCGCGAGAACCAAACATTCGGGTGGAGTACAAAACAATTTTCTAGTTGCCCAACCCTTGCCAGGTGATCGTTGGAGCCGGGGGCTTCGCTGGTTGAGTGTGGGCTCTCCACGAGACACTGAAGCCATGGATTGGTGTAGTGGTGCCCGGCAGGAGTCAAAAAGGAAAAGACCGCTCTAGGCTAAACCGGGGGGTGAGGAAGGAGGAGGAGTAATATTGTCTTACGAAAGGTTCCATGATCCCAACAATACGTGCGACCCGATCACGGGCTGTCGGGCCTAACAGATCCTTGTCCTGAAGCTTCTTGCTCATAGTAAAGCTACGGAGCCGCAGAAGATCGATGTTCTTGTTATCAGCATCGTAACCCTGGTCAACAAGGGAAGGTGTTAGTATTGAATCTAAGAAGGCCGAAAATTTGGAATGGGCGGATGGTGTGGACAAAGGAAACAATAGCGTTAACTCTGAAATAATCAATAACTGGAGGAGGGGAGTCAGGGGCTTCGGTAGAAGCGTAGATGTGGCAAATCGTAGTTAAGCCTTCTACGGCTAAGCGAAATGCCGCGGAGGGCCGGAACGCGCGGGAAACTCCATCCCTAACTTTATTCCAGAGGTGCTTCAAAATAGCTGAATGGCCATCCTCTTGGGCACTTCTGTTGAAAAATTATCAGGGGAGAAACATCATAGATATCCTTCCAGGTGCTAAGGCCCAGAGGTTCCGGAAACGAGGGAGCATCCCGTTGACAAGCCCATCATTCAACAAACCTCTCTTCCATCAAAGACAACCCGTGGATTAACATGGATATGAGGACGAGACAACAATGAGCCAACCAATGGTCCAAGAGTTGGGGATGAAGTTCTGGGTCCATGAAAGGTCTTTTGATAAGGGAATTGCTGGGTATTTCAAATCCACTGTACAACTGTCACACCTCGTGGAAGAAGAGATCGGCAAGCCCAAGGGAATATTCTAGACCACTGGTGACATGGACTCACGCCTTGGATTGCGTTGGAAGTGACAGTTCAATGCACGCGGTTTTGAGGTCGGGTCATTGGAAAATAACGGTGTGATGAAGGAAAGTCGAGGAAGTGGACGGGTAAGATCCCACCTATATTCCACGCTGACTTTACATAGATGAGAATTTGTTTATCTTACTTTTGGTTTAGTTTTCAGCGCGCTCTCCTGGTTCTGACTGACAAATGCCAAAACGGCCTCATTTTTAGTTTTCGGAATGCCGTTGAAAATCTCTTCTCTAACGTCCACTGCGTTCAACACGTTCTTGATTCGCAGTGAATTCTGGTCAATGTCTCGGCGAAGCAGGGCGAGCTTGTCAGCTTCTGGATGCCAGAGGCCCGAGCCTGATTCAGGTTATGGTCAGTGTAGGCCAGATTCGCATCTTTTTCTCACTCGATTTGTCGAAGCAACAAATTCACTTTGCCAATATTCAAATATATGCACCACCAGATGGGAACGAGCCAGTTATCGCCGGGCACCATCAACTAAATAAATACGGACAGCGCTATATATGATGGACAAAGTAAACCAAGTCCAATGGTTTAGGTCCCTGCTTGAGGGTCGACTAATTTTGCCAGTAAGGGATATCACGCGAGGAGGCACACATGTCGTGCAACTTACCAATAAAACATCTACCAGGCTCTACATGCACGTAATATGCGGCGTAAGGGCCTTTGCGTCCTGTGCGAGACCTAAATACTTATCAGCTCTGCTCTTTGGCTGACTGCGCCGTCATTGAGATCAGTGCGGTTAAATGCGGTCAACTCGTAAAACGCGTACCATGCTGCCGAGAAATGAGGCTTTGTAATGCGTTAGCGATATTCCAATTCTCTGAAACAATGTAACTGAGGCTTGAGGCGGAAAGATACTGAGTTCTGGCGGGACATACTTTGTACGGAGTGGGATCATTACTAAATCGAATGTCTCGATAGATACGGAACACCTGCAAAATGACCCCAAGGGACATTGTTAGTTCTGTCGAGGCGGATGATGTCAACATGTTGCGTAAATACCAAATCTTTAGCAGGCAATTCTGGAATTGTGCTATCCTTCTCAATGATCTTCTCCGTCAGGCTTTCAACGAATGTGTCCCAGTCGCGTTTTGAGGTCCGAAAATCCGCATCATGCACTATTCCTGGTGAGCAAATAAACAATACCACATAAAACATTCGTTTGTACTTACTCTTCAGCCACTCACGCTGGTTATTTGCCTTCAAATCCTTGAGGAATAACATTGTATTCGGATGAATTGTATGATCCTCGTAGAGTGTATCACCCGCATCCCTAGGTTTGGGGAGCTTAATGAAAACTTCCTTCCCAGGTCCTAGACCGGTTTTCACACCCTCCCGCCATAGCTCCTTTCCCTTTTCTGCTGGCTTAGCAGATGAACCGGCTTTTGCCCTGGCAGCGCCCTGTGCGGTTGCTACTGCTTTCTTCCGTCCGCTTGCCCAACCCCAACCACCGCGCCTTTTGGTAGGTTTAGATTCGGATTCGGATTCGGATTCGAATTCATCTGTAGCTGATGGTACAGAAAGGGAGTCCTCGCCGCCCTCTTCGTAAGCCGATGGTGTAGTAGAAGATATCCCTGAGAGTTCTGTGGTCTCCGCATCCAGGCTTCCCGCGGGTTGGTTCCTGAAGTATCTGCTCTTTTCCTCAGTCGATTTGGCGGGTTTCGTTTTGATTGAGTGTTTATCTTTAGCTAGTTTGTGTCGTTTTGATTTTCTGGTTGCTTCTGGGGTGGGAAACGAGTTGTCAGAGGCTCGCTTCTTTTGTTCTTCGGCAGCCGCTGATCGGAGGTCGAGTCGGGAGGAACGTCTGGGCATATTGGCTGGAGATCTCGGCATTCTGGGTGGATGGTTTCTACAACATAGTTAGTAGAGCACACATAATAGCAAATATATGTCACAACGGATGGGTACGTGTATTAGTCCACCGAGGAGGATTTTCAAGCTATTTATTATCGTTTGAAATGGTGAAATTCATTGAAGGCCAATTGGAAAAGCCAATGATTCTCCAAAGAGACCAAGGAGACAAAGCTTCAGCTCGTTAGCGCGAAACTAACTAACTAATGGGAGCATTGTCAGTTGGCTCTCAGCGCATCGAGTGAAATATGTTTTCCAATTGTTTGTCTTGGATGGAGCGCTCTAAGGGACAGGGCAAAAAGGGAAATTGCATTTGTTTGTTGGTGGGGGAGAACAGCTAAAATACTCAAGAGGCATGTGGATTTTTCACGGGCATCCATTACCATATTTACATCACCCTCTGTCCTCAATAGCAGATTCGTCAGGAGAGCAAATATAACTTGCGCGAAATCTAAACTACGTTTCATTGCCTACCAGCCACTATCATAATTAAGACAAAGCTGATTGAATCATAAACCCTCTTTGATCCTGTCCCGATTGGACCGATATCTTGTTTCGCTCTGAGGAGAGTAAATCGAACTCGGTTCGGTGGAAATGGCCTCCCCTGGACCCGGCTTCAAGGCTAAAAAGCAGAAGATTATACGCGATCTGTCCGTCCCAGATGAAGAATATACAGATCTCTCACCCAAGGGATCTATAGATGCGGGAATCCGCGATTTGATTCACAATATCAACCAAATGCCTGGCCTGGTTACGACAAGCAGCTGCGCCGGTAGAATCAGCGTATTCCTAGAAGTGGGTGGAAGTGGAAGAGAAAGGAAAGGACTAGGAGATAAAGAAGGCTCTTCTGTCAAAGAAGATGATCGGAAGATCGTAGAAGCAGAGGGGGATATCGGAGAAAGTTCAGAAAGACCACCGCAGTTTGCACCCACGGGAGGTAAAGGGAGTGGTAACTGGTTATTCGTATCCCATGAGCCGGTGGAGATAGACCTGGACTGTGAAGGCAATTACCTTCACAGGATGTTTAATCTGGTTCCCATGGACGAGAAAATTGGAACAATAAACCATTCCGGTAGCTTGAGGCTTGTCCGTTTTCATTTTGAACCAATGGTCAGTGTCTGCTTTTCAACCTGTTGTTGTTTGTCCACTTTTCTGCAATAGTCACAATTCCCCTCAAAATGTATGAATAATGCCTAACATGGCATCACAGATTCTCCACATTATGGCATCATCTCTACAACATGCCCAGCCGGTCCTCGCAGCTGCCACAATGGCCGGTTTCCGAGAAAGTGGCATACAAAGCCTGCGGTGTTTAAATGATTCGGAAGCGTACCCCATTGTGGCAGTCCGTTCATCCGGACTTGCCCTTGAGTCCATCATCGGGTTCCATCAACAATGCATCAAAAGTAAAAGCAAGGATGTCATTGCTAAGAGCCTAGTTTCTGAAGTTTATCTCCGCATGTTGCTTGCAGTTGCAAATGAGAGGTTTAAGACGAACGCAAACCGGCGAGATAGATTCTGGACGAAATTACAGGAACTTAGTACAGGGCATGCCGGTGATCTTTCTTCAAGAAGGGCTGGTTGGGAAGATCCTGAAGTGCGAAGGGAAAGGAAAAGGGAGGAGGGATTAAGGCGGAGTAGAGCCGCGATGGGGCCAAAGGTTGCTCGAAGGAAACTTGATCTATTTGGTGATATTATGAGTGAGGAGGGTGAGCCCTCCTTTCTGTATCTTTGATTTGAGTTGATCCAAGGCGGTCTATAAAAATTTCTATAGCTTGCTGCTGTTGTAGCGGGCAGTTTTCCATCTAATCATCCTTAAGCATACCAGATATTATGAGGACATGTTTCGTGCGATAATGTCTTTATCCTTTCAAAGAATCTGACGTTGATGCCACGGTTGGTGATCCCCCGGACGCAGGAAAGCTACCATCCACGGACGATTGTCTTTCTATATCCACAGCAAATAATGCAATAGGCAACTTTTGGCCTTCATTTGTTATTACTTTGCTAACTAACTAACTGGCTAACTAACTACCTGTGCTTGACATATTTTGTTCATAACCAGCTACAGGCCCGCAAGACGATAAGCCGCACATGGGAATACGACAGTGTCACGTAGGGGAATCGAATGTCAAGTTCATTAAAACGAAAATTGGGGGGGGGGGGGGGGAAGGGAAGGAAGGGAAGCTCCGAAAAACGTAACTAAAGCGAACAATTGCATCAGTAATTCATTAGGCCGATCCTGTTCATCATCGTAGCGCGGATGTTCCTGCGCTCAATTTCGCTGTAACTCATGGCTACACACTTGGACCCCACGGAAGTAAAACAAACAAACAGATAAATCAATCGCTTTCATGGTACGAGAAGCAGTATTCCACTTGATGAAAGTCGAAATCCATCGTCAAAGGAAACGAGAGATAGACAAAGAAAATACAAGAAAGAAAGGAAGGAGGAAAACTAAGCCAATTTGCAAGATTTACGCCCCGGTTTTGCCATTGGCAAATATGATATTCGACCAACACTTCCTCGCCTGGTAGGCACTATTCTTATGGACGGACATTGTGGAATAGGTCACTGGTCGTCCTTCTCCCCAGCGCAATTGAGGCAAGCCGTATATCCGGGAATGAAGCCCAAAGAGAAAATTTCCGACAAAAAGATCACAAGAACAAAAGGAAACCCAAATAAGAAAAATCAGAAAAATCCCAGGAAAAAAAAAACAATTGGAGTGGCTCAGTTGGGAGCCTCAGATGGGAGCGAAATACGTGAAGTTAATGAAACCTGCGTGATCATTAACGGAAGTATGTGATATGCGAACACTATACAGATCGCTCATAGCAGCCTTCATCGACCTCAGGCACTGGAGAATGACGACTTCCATTGGTTGCAGCGCGGGTGCGGCGACGAGTACCCACCGCTCTAAACATGTTATGGGGGATAACGCAAGTATCAGCGAATCCCGAAAAGGAGTTGGAGGGTTTGCGACGATTAGCCTGATTAGAACGGGAGGCATCATCTTTGCAGTCTGGCACATTGGTTGAACACGCGTCATGGATGAAATTGATGGGAGCAGACCTGGCCTGGCGGCTTAGGCTGTGGGTATGTCGAACCGGGTAACGAAGCATGGCGGGCGAAACGGATTGAGAAATGTTTTCAGAGATAGGCCCCGCAACCGAAGAAGGACCGTCAACAGAAACTGAAGGAGACGAAGCGGAGGATGGAAGAGAGTGAGAAGGACTCTCTGTTCCACGTTTGCTCTTAACACCCTCAGTGATTAGCTGTGTCAAAACACTAATTTCATAGTCCACCGCGGTCTGCCATTTGTGATGGGTGTTTCCCCAGCCCCACTCAAGCCAGACCTTCCCAAAAGGAGAGCCTGCATGCATGACAGGATGCCAGGTGTTAGCCAGGACATAGGTGCCAGGGTTCTTGGTAGCAGAACCGGCTACAATCAATTCAGCATATTGCTATGAGATACGGCATTAGCATAAGCAAATAGGTTAAGTTTTGGGGATTTTCATACCATGACGTGTTCCTCAGTAGCGTTAGGCTTACGGGTGAGTGTATCAAATGGCCAGAATCGTGCAGTGGGAGATGCAGCCACGCGATAGTTTTTGGCTGCAATATTGAGAACAAACTTCTGGCGATCATTAAAGACAGGGCAGCGCAGTCCCGCTTCTAGTAGCTCCCAAACAAGGCGCGAGTCGAGTCCAATAGTTTGTCCTCGCTCTACTTGCGGCACCAAAGCATGAATCAGGCGAAGAGTAGCAGAAAAAATCTGATTGCGATCTTCCACGGTGTAAAAGTAGGTCGCATACCAAGGGAACTGGGGCTGGGATTAGGAACGTCACCAAATATCGTGGAGAAGGGGCGAACCTTATATAAAGTACTCATCATATTTTCGTAAGGGCGCTGAAGACATTTTGCGCAGTAAACGGACTGTCACATCAGGGAGATCAGTGTCTAAGAATTCCCAGGCAGCGGCCCAATGTATTATTACAACATACGCGTTGAGGCATCTCAGCATGGCGAACCGTGCAGAAAATTTCCTCTCCAGTCAAAAAACCCTGAAATCCAGAGCAATATTTCTCTATTCCAGCCCTCACATGAGGAATACCGTTTCTCCAATCAATGTTTTTGGCACGCGGAAAGAGATCTTTGAGCAACTCGTCCTGATGGCTAGCTCTGACTACCACATGACGATTGCCCAATTTTGGAGTCTGGCAAGTGTCTAAACCACGGTTGATCCAAGCAAGCGTACACTCCGCATCGGCCTTAGTTGGGAATTCAATGTAGCAGTCCATAGTCTTCCCAGTCGAACGTTCCATGATAATATGCACAGCGCATCCTAAATCAGGTGTCAAGGGTCTGGCGTTACGACCAAGAAACTGCAGGATCTCGTGCTTGGTCACTGCATAAGGGATCTAGAATCATGTTAGCATGACTTCCATGTTAAGAAATCCGTCCGTTTCTCAGAGGCCCCATGAACAACCCCGGAACTATCACGCTTGCTTGATGATGGAGGAGTAATACTGGAAATGAACACGCCAGGGATCTGATATAACGCACATTGGTAATTTTGATAACCCCAAATCTGGGTTGGTAGGCTGTATCTTTGCCCCGTTGTCGAACGGCATCGCGTGTGGGTAGCAGACCGGATTGCCAGCGTAGCCGTAAGGACCGTTATGTGCGGCTGACATTGTGACAGCCATCGCAGTGGTCGCAGTCATCGGGGACGCTGCTGGCGCTGGGTTCTGATGCTGCGTGGCGTAGTTGTGGTCAGATGGAAGCTGAAAAGTTCGTGCAGTCAAGAATGAAGGATCATGTTCCATGGACGTCGCCAGAGTGACAGACGAAAGAACATCACCTCCCTTTTGCCCCATTGTCTCAGTAACCCCAACAAAGTGACGGTTTGCCCCAACGGCATTTGGATTCACTGCTGAAGGATTTTTTGGGCGGCCCATAGATACAACAGAATCAGCAAGACCCGTGAGTTTATTACATTCATATTCCTTAAAATTGCCATTGAGCCCGTCATTTTGACCCATTCCAAGTCCCTGATCAAGCATCGGGAGATGATGGCTCGCTTTCATCACATAAGGAGAATAACGTGGCAAATATGGCACGCTGGGATAGAAGTTATAACCCACTTGATATCCGGTTGACTTCTGTTCGGGGCTGCTGCAGGGATAGTAAGTGTATCCAGCCAACTGAAGTGGGAGGTATTGAGGGACGTGATACTGTTGACTACCGTTGGAAGCTGGGAGGTAATTGTGGGCATTGAAACCATTGTCAACGAAATCAGGAAATTTTTCGGTTTCTTCTTCTGAAGTCGCATCCGAGGGCACGGATATACTTCCATAATCGCTGCAAAATTCATACCTTGAGGCTGAGAACTTATATCCATCGCTGCTGATGTGGGTACGTCCACGCTTGTGACCCAACAAATCGTTCTCAGATTCTCCACTGTCATGGTTAGAAGCGACTATCGCCGGAGCGGTATACGGAAAACTAGGCGGGTTCTCCCTCCAGTAGCCTCGAGCCTTTTCCGACATTTTATACCTGAAAAAAGTGGCCATAGCTTTGAAACTCTTCTTGACGAAGCTCGACGCGAGTGCGTGATGGGCGTGCCAAACTCGATCAACAGCAGAACAATCTGCCGAAACAAAAGGGTAAAATGGAAGAGGAAAGATGATCCCACATTTGGCAGCAAAAGCCAACTAGAGGAGGTGTTTGTTGTAGTGCCTGTTAATGAAAGAGGGGAGAATGGATGAAACATGAAATTAAAAACCGAATTGTTTCATGAGATTTGTGTGTTCCGCTTAGTCGTTGCTTAGAACTGCCATGAGAGGTTTCGCACAGGTAGGTATGTTATGACCAGAAGGATAGTTATACTGGGGGGTTCGGTTTGCATCACATTGGATGTTAATGATCAAACTCATATATGCCTTGGGCTTTGGTCTATTCACAAAGCAATTGTGGTACTTAACAAAAGTCCAGCTTTTTGTTTGTGAATGTTGTAGTTCAGTATAAATCACATAACTGTGTATGTGAGGCATATCCTACATAGATAACTCGATGGCGAGGTGGAAAAGAGCAAGCGGATATGATGTTAATACTGCGTCCGGAGGGTCTCCACTCAGCTGATGAATGGAAGCTTCAAAATCGCGAAATAGCCTGGCTGATGGCCAGTGAGAAATGCGGACAGAAATCTCAGAAAACAGGATAATGCTGACTGGTGCCAATCAATGTAATGCGCTTTTTCATGTCCGGCAGATGATTCAATGGTAGAAGAAAACGAAATACTGAAGTGGAATATGTGAAATGATACAAATATATATTCCACCGAGAGGAGATCATAGAAATGAAAAGAAAGGAAATTATGCTGGGCGGCATAATTTACATTGCCTTAGAACAGAAAATCTGCACAAGGAAACATAATGGGTTCTATTAGAATCTACACCAGGGAAAGGCTCAAAACGGACATGACATTCCGAATTATAGCTGGGCAAAAAAGGATATAAACTAGAATACTGGAAGAAAAAAAAAATATCGCATAAAGCCCATTGCCACGGAGGTACAAGGCATGTAATTAATTAATCAAACTTGCATCACAAATATTAGCACCCGTATAAATCTTCGAAAGTGATGACTACACTTACAGGAGTCAAAAAGGATTCCGCCACAAATCTCGCCCTAGCATTCAGCTAAACACAAAACGGTTAGTAGAGGAAACTTGATGTAATAAGCCCGATGAGGAGGTAGCCAGAGAGTCCGCATAGTCGGGCGCGAAGGCCGTTTACGCACAAAGAGTTTCATTTCCGATATTTCCTTATCCACCTCCTCCATGAACTCTATGATAAAGTCAACTAGCTTATGCTTTAACATAGCCTCTGTATGGAAATTGGTTATCAAAAAAGATATGTCGTAGCCCTAGACTATGTCAGCCATGACAATTTCCGCGGTATGTGCTATGTTTCGAGGGTAGCTAACCTTTACAGGCTTCCGTCGTAGAATGAAGAACGCCTCTGCTCTTTGAGTCAAAAATCTGGTGAATTTGTGCACTAGAATATTCTCGATCTCGTCCGCCTGCTTAATCCGAATGCTGACTCTGATGCTGTTGACGCTTGGTTCAATAAGGACTTTTTCGTTTTCGTTACGCGCAATTGTAAGGGGGTTTAGTAGGACTTCTGGGGAAGTAGCCGCCTCCACCTCTGGAACATTATGCCGTTCTGACGTCTGCGAAGCAAAGTTGGAAATTGCGAGGGCGGCTGTGAGAGAGGATCGCACACATTGAAGGTATGGGCGCAATGATTGTGACTGAGAAACGATTAGTTGGGCAATGTGGTCGTTAGGGGACGTACGTACCATAATGGATGTGGGCCGTCAGTTCAACTTGCGAAAATTGAGGTTCAAGTAAACGGAGCAAATACGATTGTGTGCGGGGTACAACGGACTTGACAAAATGGTCTGCCGCGCTATTGCATGTAAGAGGACAGTGGTGCTGTGAATTCTTTGTATAAGACACTCATACTGGGGTCCCGTTGTTGTTCGATGGTGGCATGTCAACGTAGAGATGATTGGAAGTGTTTGCACTGTTTGCAACAATTCCCCCCGCCAACCTCAAGAAGCATTTCTCAGCAAATTACTTTGTTAGCACACACGTCCCTGTCATTCATTCCTCCAGCCAACCTCTGAAGGGCTGAAATTCGAATATATATCCTTGCATAGTGAGCTTCACAGAGTAATATTCAGTTTCCGTAATGGCTACGATACCTGGTGAGCTTCGGTTTTCTGTTTTCCACCTTGGTTTTAACTTTCGTGCTTCTACTAATCAGTGGACTCAAGTAATTGTCAAACACCAAGGCAAGCGCCACGAGGTCGATCTCGATCCGACTGCCAATGGAGAAACCTTCAAATTCCAGCTCTATTCGCTGACTGGAGTCGAGCCAGAACGCCAGAAGGTTCTCGTGAAGGGTGGGCAGCTGAAAGATGACACAGAACTCTCAGCCCTTAATGCAAAGCCTGGGCAAACATTCATGATGCTGGGAACACCAAGCGCTAGCAATATTTCCGCAGCTCTAGAGAAGCCTAAAGAGACGACAAAATTCATTGAGGATATGACGGAAGCCGAAGCTGCGAGAGCTGATGGCGCGACCCCTGCCGGTCTACAAAATTTGGGTAATACATGCTACCTAAACTCGACACTACAGACGTTGCGAACCATTCCAGAGCTGCATGAAGAGCTTCTGAAATATCAGCCTTCAGCCGGTTCATCAAATTCGCGTAGTATGCTAGGAATTCCTTCTTCTGGGGACCTGACCGCTTCTCTGAAGGATCTTTATAAGCGCATGTCTGAAACGCAGGAAGGATTTCCACCTATATCTTTTCTGAACTCTCTGAGGCATGCTTTCCCGCAGTTTGCACAGAGAGCGAAGGAAGGTCCCGGGTATGCACAGCAAGACGCAGAAGAGGCATGGTCCCAGATCATATCTCAACTACGCCAGGATCTCAAAACTAAGGGCGAGAACGGTGATGAATCGTCCGAGATAGCTTTTGTCGACAAGTACCTCGCTGGGAGACTCGAGTCGATCCTTGAATGTGATGACCCTGCGGCGAAAGAAGCAGGTGAGACCGCTATTGAAACTTCAGACTCCTTCCTTAAGCTAGACTGTCATATCGACAAAAACATAAACCATTTGCGGGACGGCCTGTTGGCGGGCTTGGAGGAAAAAATTGAGAAGAACTCGCCTACTCTGAACCGGGACGCGACTTATACAAAACGCTCTAAGATCTCTCGATTACCAAAATACCTTACAGTGCATTTTGTTCGATTTTTTTGGAAACGAGATAAACAGAAGAAGGTGAAAATCATGCGCAGAGTGACATTCCCACAAGAGCTGGACGTTGTGGAATTTTGCACTGAGGAGCTGAAGGAAAAGCTTTTCCCTGTCAGAGACAAGGTCCGCGAAATTCGCAAAGATGAACGTGATATGGAACGAGTTCGTAAGCGTCAGAAGATCGCACATAAACGGGAAGAGGAGCAGAAGGCTAATACCTCCATGGTCGAGCCTATCCAAAAAAAACAAATCGCCACCGAGGACCCTGATGCGACCACCGATGTTCCTATGGAGGAAGCCTTCAAAACTGATGCTGAGTACGAATCCGAGCGTGCCGCAGCCGTTATGGCTGCTAAAAAAGAATTGTTCAATCTCATCGACCCAAAACTCGCGTCTGATGATGGCGCCAATACATCCGGGCTGTACGAATTGTGCGGAGTCATTACCCACCAGGGGCCTAGTGCTGAGAGCGGCCACTACACCTCTTACGTGAAAAAGCAAGGAAGGATTGTCGATGACCCTCTCGCTCCCGGCGGCAAGAGATACGAGGATGATGGCAAATGGTGGTGGTTCAACGATGACAAAGTTTCTGAGGTTGAGGCGGAGAAGATCGAAACTCTGTCAGGCGGTGGTAAGTGGTCATATCTTGTGTTGCCTTGTCCCTTAAATCGAGAAAATGAAAGGAATGACAACTTATGGGAGCTGGCAAACTAACATACATCCCTCAGGTGAATCGCATTCTGCACTGATACTGCTTTATCGGGCTATCGATTTGCCAACCGCAGAGGAAGTTAAAGGATAATCCTTCATCTTTTGTTTAGAGACGCAAACTTCAACCAGCATCCATCATCAATTTTATTTCCTTCCTTCAAAACTTACGATAGTTATATTAAGATAAGCTTTATCGATTGTTTCTGGCGGATTATGTTTACAGGCTTAAGGAGGTTTTAACACGGTAATCGGAAATCAAAGAAAATAGATTTAGCACGCTTTAGATGATAATTACTCTCTATGAAACTATGGGAGTATCCTCCATATGTACCTAGTGTACGTTCTCAGATCAATGAGAGTTTTTGTCTCCTACTCGTTTTGCTTTTCATGCCCATGCTATCACATGACCATCTCCTCGACCCATCACAAATTCTGTGCGTAACCTCCAAGCATTGTTGACAGCCTTCACAGCAGGTGACATGCGCCAGCAATGTTCCGCTCTCCAAAACCGATAGCCCACATCTTCTCCTGTGGTACGATCGCCCGGAGCGTCATCAATCCTCCGAAGCGTTTGCTAATCCCTGATACCTCTCCGTATGCTTCATCAATCGTGAGGCGTTCCTTCGCCCGAGCGACACGAGTACCATTGACCGAAAGACAACATGTACTTCGGCGAAGATTTCGTTCGTTGGCCTACTTCGCTATCTTCGGCTCGTTAGGCTATGGCATAGGGAATGTTTTGTCCGCGTTCCTGGCCGATCCCGCGGCACCAGGTTCCCTGGAGGATACACAACGAGTTGACCATCTGCGGCGGGTGATGGATCGCCTTGAGGTGGTTAAACAGCTACGGGCTGATCCTGATTATGTCGAATGGGAGGCATACGAAAGTTTTTCAGAGGAAGAGAAGCCTCATCGACTGACGAGTGGGCCTCTGAGTGGAAGTCGCAATTTGCCTGTGCAGGTTAGTTCTTCTCTGCCCACCCCCTTCGCCTCAATTCGTGCGATTCGATCTTCATATTGAGCTTGGTAGACTTGCTAATGGTGTTGCTAACTGATGGTTGATATCTACAGCGAATATTTTGGAACGAAAAAAAACACAAAGCTACAACAGTGGTGCATATGGGGATTGGACTCAGCAGCTGGCCATCAATCGTTCACGGAGGGGCAGTCGCTACGGTTCTGGACGAAAGCTTTGGACGGGTTGCCATACGCAGCTTCCCCGCTCGAACAGGTGTAACGGCTAACCTCAATATCGACTATATTAGACCCTTAAAGGTTATGGGTTTTTATATAGTGACAGTAGAATGTGACCTGGAGAAGAGCACGGAGCGCAAAGCTTTCGTTAAGGGCGAAATTCGAGATTCAAAGGGTAGCCTATGCGCCACGGGAAATGCTATCTTCGTAGTGCCGAAGACCGTGACGTTGAGACCACTTGGTGATAATTTCTAACCTCTATCTTAGACACCGCTCTATTAGACATGACCTCAGGAACGAACTTCGTGTATCAAATTACTCGGGGTGTCGACTTCTGATTGGAGCCAAATGCTAAGTTCCGCCTCACAATCCAAGCCGTTCGTTTAACGCCTCTGATATGTTATCAACTATATGCGGAGTGGGAAAGGAGGCATAGAACTATCAGTCTCCATGTCACATCATTACCTCATTAGCAACCTGGGACCCCCTGGGCTCTTTACTTGTCAAATACGCAAATTTGGCATGAAATGGATACCATAACATAAAGGTCTTTTTCTTAATCATCCTCAAACCGCTGGCGAGACGAGGGATAGATTCGAGAAGTTAGATGCAATGAAGAAATGGCACTCCCTTTTATTTTTCCTTTTTAGGAGTTGCACCTGTCAAGTTGAACTAGAGGCTGATACACTCCACAAGCTGTGTCTAGATAGACATCATGAGTTCCAGGGGACATTCTCGCAAAAGGCCTCACATGTCAATGTTTTATCCGCTTTTAAACTTGTTTTCGATCAGCCGTAGTATCGTCTCAAAATCACCCGGGGTTCAGTGATCAAAGACCACAGGTTTATATCGTGCACGCCGCCCATTGCTCTTTTAGTATTTCCCATCCAGTGTCTAGTCGGCATCACTGGTTTTACTTTACTCTCCATTATTGACGCGCGTTGCCAACCAAGAAGAAAGCACTCGATGTATTATATATAACCTTCACCAAGACTTGACTCATCTTGTTAAGAGAATATACGGCACTCTTCTATATCATAGCCCTACGGGTTCCCTTTTCTATTCCTTTCTCTTCCAATTTCCTGACCTTCTAATTTCTTGGAACTCGGAATTGCTCATCCGGTGTTCAGTGCTGGAAATATATTTAAACGCCATTTCTTGTACTACAGAGTCCAGCTACTAGCAATATATCCCATTTAGCAGTCTTGGGCATAAAACTAGAGAAACTCAGCCCCAAGCAGTTCGTGATAACTATTTCATGCCCAGAACATGACATATTGGCAGGCACAAATTAGCAGTTTCATGGGATTTTCGGTACTCAGCCTTTTTTTTTGGTGTTGCTCTCACTTAGCTAGTTCATAACAACATTATCCTCCGACATGGTTGTTCCTTGTTTCAGCCACTAGTCCCAATTTATGCAGTTGGAAAATTGCATCCTGGACTGCGCCCCATGCCAACGACGTCAACATAAAATAACCCCTTCCCACGCAGCATTGAAGGGCATATCTGCAATTCGAAGTCAATTCTGGAGCATCGCATTGAGCCCATTGTGCTGCCCCTCACCTCAGCCTCGCCCGTCCTATTATCTTCAAACACTTCCTAGCTTCCGTTTCAACGACATACCGTTTCAGCTACACACACGTGCACATCAACAGAAGCAAGAGACAGAAGAAAACAAGAAAAACAGGGCTATCCCCATATATCCCCATAAATACAACCCAACCTCTCTCTCCTGAGGCCAACAAGGACCCTCTCCATTGGAACAATGACCACCTCCCAACCCACCCAATCGTCAATAATAACGACGAAAACAGCGACAAATGGAGACAACACCTCGCACATTCCCTCCGCAGCGCCGATGCTCAGCCCTCCAGCCTCTTCCCACTCCATTGCAGATGATGACGACGATGCCCCCCTCTTCTGCCCCTCGTACATCTCCCCAATGGTCCAAAAACAGCTGCCGGAAAACTACACGATCCGACCCCTACGGCGATCAGACTACTTCTCCGGCTACCTCGACGTTCTCCGAGTCCTGACCGCTGTCGGCGACTTCACCGTCGAGCAGTGGAACGAGCGCTATGACTGGATGGCGAAGCGAGGCGAGGAGTATTTCCTGCTGGTCATCTGCGATGGCTCTGGTAGGGTGGTGAGCACGGGGAGCCTGATCGTCGAGCGCAAGTTCATTCACTCCCTGGGCATGGTGGGCCATGTGGAAGATATCGCGGTAGAAATGGGCCAGCAGGGGAAGAAGTTAGGGTTGAGGATGATTCAGGCGCTGGATTTCGTGGCGCAGAAGGTCGGGTGCTATAAGGTGTGTCATTCTTACATTCCCCCCCCTCCCCGGTTACTCCTCTTCAAATATCATTGTGTGTGGCTTTTATTCGTGTCTTCCGGAAAGAATTCGTCGCTGATCCGTCCACTCTTACAGAGTATCCTCGATTGCTCAGAAGCCAATGAAGGCTTTTATTTGAAATGCGGCTTCAAACGTGCCGGCCTCGAAATGGCTCACTACTACAACTGAAACGAATAAATTTACATTTATTTGTTAATTTTCGCCCCCTTTATCCTTCTTCTTTCCCTTTAAAAAATATAATAATTATAAGGGACTCAAACGGAATAAAAAGCCCCATCCTTCCGGCCAATACTGTCCCCAATTATCTTCCGAAGCAAGCAGAAATACAAACGCCCAATTCCAATACATATCTTCGCAAGATCACTCTGCTTCGCCCCTAAAAGCTCTACGGGACAAACACTAGTGATCGAACCACATAGTGGGATGATTATTTAAATATATTCCGCTAGGGTATTTTGAATATCCAGCCGTCGTCTGCACGGGCGTGTATGATAATGTACACTCCCCCCGCGGCCCCAGCAGGCAAGTGTTGGATTACTACTGTGAATGGGGTGCTCGGATCTTCTTCTCTCTTCTCTCTCTTCTTTGCGGTCTAGAAAAACGGTCGGAGTGATTTGTTTCTTTTATATTATTAATCGGGAGGGAAGAATATTTTTCATTTTTCAGCCTTGAGTCTTCCTTGTTATTTTTGGACGAGTGGACCGGAATAGGATTTCGACAATATCAGGGATAATTAATACATACATAGATGGCGTGTTAATACCCCTCTGCTTTGTGTTTTTTTGTTTTTTTTTTTTTTTTTCAAACTTTCCCCCTTTCCCCCTTTCTCTCCGTCGATTTGCGCTCTTTTTTTTTCTTCCATTTCCAGTTTTGTATTATTCTAACAGTGGCACATTTCGGATTGATTTTCTTGGGTCTTGGGCCGGCTCCCCACCACCATCCCCCTGTTACAGAGGGTGCAGAGCTGCAAAAATTAGTACTCGTACTAGTGACTAGTAGCTGACTGACTGCTTAGCCGCCCACTACACACTCTACAATAGGGATCTGAGTGGATGCTCCTCAGTTCAGATAATGTGGAACTAAAGATCCATGTATCCCTGGGATTTTGAGGTGTGTTGGCCCACGTAGCTATGGTTGCAAGAAGTAGGCTGTTTCTAGTACGTCATGAGTAATGCGCTATTTTAATAAGACAGTGGGATGTTTACGAAGTACCATCTACTACTAAAAGATGTCCAATCTTCCTCAACCTAAACAGTATTGAATAATGATTGATTGTGTATTTATAATGTGAGTTCATGAAGCATTAGGTAAGAATGTTATATTTTCAATCAAGTCTTCGCCGCCCTTCCATACCGAAACACTCAATCATAGCACCCAAAACACAATCAACCCAGGCCAAAATTGCTTTCACACATTGACCCGCTCTAATCTAAAGCATGGCAAATCGATCGATCTCTCCTACAAGATTTTTGGAACAACAGAACCTTAGTTTATCACAGAACAGCCGAAGAGATCTCTTAAAGCTTATGATTTCCGTCCGCGGCGGCTCGGGTACAGACCGACGAATCAGGCAGTTTTCATAGAGATATAATACAGAACTATCATTGTTTTGGAGAGATGTTGAAGCTGAAAAAGGCAGAGGGACAGAGTTTGAAAATAAATGATATTGCGCGCCGACTTCGACTGCGGCATCAGTATCAACAATTTTCCAATCAATTCAATCGTTCACGTGAGACCGGTATGAAGCCACCCGAATCAGCTATCAAAGCTTTTCAACATATTTCGGGAGAGCCTCATACCCCATCAGCTAAATGCCAACTAAGAGCCGGAAAGAGGCTCTCGTCGCTAGAGCCTGATGTGATGTTGAGAATTGAAAAGCCTCATTGGGTGAAGCAAGACAACACCTGGCACAACATTTGCTTGGTATGTACGGAGTATTTGAATCGACATTTGTTGTCTTTAGATGGGAACGAAAGCTGTCTGAAAAGGACCTCAAATGATATATGAAGACAGGTCCAGATTAGAAAGAGGCAAGAGTTCAACAGCTGAAGTTAGGAATTGGTATAAGAAAGGAAATGATAGCGAATATTAACGTATATAAGCCATAAGATGTATTTAAGAGGCTAGACTGCGTACCGCGGTCGGCATACGCCGTTGAAAACGATCACCGGATATATCACATTACAAAGCTCGCGCGGAAAATGCTAATGACTAGCGGAAGTGGGAAGAAAATCGAAATTTGAATTGTGAAGTACCCGACACAAGAGTAGATATATGTTCAGAAAGTTTTTACACAAATGTGTCGAGAGATATTGTAACCAGGCTGACCAGTCCTTTCCCCAGACTTGCGGAGTCCCCTGTTTTCGTGTCCATGAATATACACGATATCTCCCCCTTTCCAACTCGACCCTTCCACTACCTTGTAATAAGAGTAATGGCACATCGCAAACTGATCGTGTTAAGACCTCTATGTGTTCGTTCGTTCGTTGTCCATAATTTCAATTTTCATCTCGGGCCAGTTTAAGAGATAAAGGGTTCCCAACACATAAAACACAAAGCAATACAGGAGAGAAAACCGTAAATAAATGCGCTTATGACGTAGGGTTGGGGTTCATCTTAAAAGACGAGGAAACAATATCACGTTAGTTCCAACTTCGTTGCGATTGCTTTCTCCGATCATTATTGGGACCAAAGGCTGTAGAAGACGCACCTTTCGCTTTCCACCGGTCATCGTGACGTTAACAAATCGTCTGGTGTATTGCAGACGCTTCTTGGCGCGACCCTTCGGGGTCTTCTTCTTCTCTTGAGGCTCGACCTATATTACATCAAGTCCTCCAAGTCAGCCCAAAATCTGTTCTTGTTTCCGTATCTTCAACCATATATGTCTTTATATATATCTCTCAAACTTTCCACTATATCTTGCAATAAAACCCCAAATCTTAGAATTCGTTACACGGACCACAGTTCTCAGAATCGAGGTGAGAGAAACCGTTTTCCGAGAACCATGCACGGAGAGTGAAAAATGGGCAAAGAACTGACCTTAGGGGTCTGGGACTTGACTTTGCCCGCACGAGCGAGGGATCCGTGAACTTTACCCATGATGTGCGGTAAGCGATGGGGACGAGTTTTCGAAGGATGCCGTTGACAGAGGTGTGATTGACTGTGTGGGAGGCTGAGAATGACGATGGTTTGATGGATGTGTTGGCGTTTTGTTTTTCTGCCTAGCTGTATTAAGCGAGCGGTAGCGGCTGCGGAAGAAGAGAACAATATCAGGATCCTTTGGGTCTCATTTTGAAACGCCTGGGAGATAGGGAAGGTGAAGGAGAGTAGATGCTTACAGCCGTTTGGGATTCGATCCTCTTCGTTGTCGCGGTTTGCCTTTCAACTCTTCCAGCTCGTCTCTGTTGACTGAAATGGAGGACGTCAAATTAGCGACTGCCAAGACTTGGCGAGTTGAAGTGTGTAGGGCTGTGCCCTATTTCCTATTTTGGAAGCCGTCTACTCATTGCTCCAAAGACGAACCAGCAGGATCTCAAGAGTGATCATGGCACTGAATTCTCGCTTGAAGGCTTACAGATTATAGAATTGCTGAGTCGCTATATTGATGAGTATTTAAGATGGATGGGACCTTGCTCTCAGGCAAGCAGACTGCTTCAGATGGAATTATCTTTGAAGCACGGAATATGCTAATGCGAGGCAATTGAGCATCATCCTGAAATAGCCATGAAAGGTAAATGAAACGAATATAGAGTGGGTGGGAAATCTGCTAACCGAGTTTTCTCTTTTTTTAAACTAGATCACAGTACATTGAAAGCGTAAAAAGAAATAAGAAAGAAAAATAGCAGGAATCCATTTGCATTAGAACATCGTACTTGCAAAACGTCCCATAACAGAAAATTATCTTCGCCTAGCAGAGTCCTGATATGTAAGGAATATAAAATTCTTTAGATAATGGGAGACTCTAGCACACTGATATTCGTAATTGCACTGGTCCCTTCCATTCCACAAAAATCACCGGGCGCCACTACCGAATCCCAAATTTTAACGAGACTTAGCAGCAACCTTGGGTGGCGCACCCTTAGCACCCTGTTTGCTTTGGATTCTGCTCGCCTGGCCTCTGGCAGCGTTGGCAGCGTTCTTAGCCTTCTCAGCTCTCTTCTTGCTTTCGGCAGCGGACTTCTTTTCCTTTCCTTCCTTGATGGCTTGTTGGCGAGCAGCGAGGCGGGCCTCAGGGCGCATGCTTCGTCGTTCTTTGATGACGTCTAGAGAGGCGCCGACAACAGCACGCTGGGACTTGACTGTGCGTCGGGTACGCTTCTTTGCAACTTCCTATATGAAGTAATAAAAAAAATAGATTTTCCTTTTGTTAGCCAATTATCCCAACTTCTCCAGTTTCCATTCTCAAAAGACTATCATTTTTGCCCATCCGTGATATTTCCTTGCTTCTCCTCATCCTTCATGCCATGTATCTCCAACTGCTCCACACATCTTTGATCTCCCAGAAACACCTCGCATCGCGAAAGATATAAGGGGGAAATATGGAAATGCCACTGACTTCAGAGATGCCTTTCCTGTGTTGTCTTCTATAAAGGGTCGTCCATAAGATTCGGCGAGGGTTTTTGCGTTGGAGGAAGAGGGATTCGGTCTTGCCATTCTGGAAGCGGAAGACTTTGCCGTCGCCGCGGACGTAGAGTTTACCCTGCACACATCGTAGCCAAAATAATCAGTTTTTCATGTTTCTCGTAGTTATTCCTTCCAACCATTTAAACGGATAAACTTGGCATATAGAAAGAAATCCTCCATAGTCCAAACAAGTCGTGCGTGTGGAGTACAAGGATTTTGATACCGGGACCGAACCGCCACGACACTTTCAAAAAACACAGCATCATTTTCTGACATACCTTTCCGGGGTAAATCTTCTCGCCGCTGAAAGTGTCGTCGTAGGTACGCATCTTGAATGGGTGGAGATGCGCAGCCGGTGAGTGGACGGGGTTAGATTGTTGACTTCGTAGATTTAATTAATCTCTGCGACTGACGCCCTTTACACCCTTTGGTGGTTGGTGCGAGATGCTTTCGCTAAAGTGTCTCACGTGACTTTGGCTGCCCTTTCACAAGCTCCAATCAAGCTCCAGGAGTGGGCGTGCACTATCAGTCTCCAATCTCCAACTCTCCATGGCTTTTCAGCAATGGGAATTTACTTTATGTTTTCTATGATGGGGAATGAATTTGCAGTCGGGTCTATTCCGAACTATCCTATTTTTCGCGTTACATGAACCCGATCAGGTCATTAATCGATGAATCCTACATGGCGCTGACAACATTTTGGCTGGCAAGTGGGCGCTCCACCAGACACACTCCTCGAGATATTGATTACACTTTTGGCATTCGCTTGGAAGTGTCATTGTTTACTCCGTACCTATCGACTTAAAAATGTTGATACGCACCAAGATGACCGAAACGAGGACCTTAGAATGAATCATTTATTGAATCAGGTCGAGAGATTTTATTTTGAAAATTTACAGAGGAAACAGCGCATTCGTTTAACTAAAACTGAGGTGAGCTTGGCATAATTCCGCTGGAGTGTGTAGGAAACAATAAATGAAATAAAGGCACCAGATACATCAAGAGTTGACTGGCTAGCTTTTTGGAGAGCCGAGAATGGTGAGAATCCGTTGCGCCTCAAAAAAAAGAGTGCGGAATCTGTATTCTATAGCGGGCAGTCGAACATCGCAGGTTGAGCCTTCAACCCAGACAAAAAAAAAGCAAAATACAAAAAAAGGGACTATAAAATCATAGAATCAATCAAACAAAGGATTAAAACCAAAACGCCGTAATAACATGATAAAGGGAATTAGGTCGTCAGAAGCCGAACAAAAAGAAGAAAGATGAACAGGGTGTCTCGCTCGGCATAAACAACCACCATTAAACAACTCGCCCGCAATCAATCGATCACTAAAATAGTATCAGGTCCTTACTCCGATGTTAGCCAACCCACTTAAGTTCCTGCCGATTATGGATTCCTGCCCGCCGCCTCCGGCGATGCATATAGTTGTGTCTCCGCTTTTGCTTGCGCAATAGCTGCAGCTGGGTTTTCTCTCCAGTGTTTCGCAACTTCTTCTGCGAGGGGGTCATCGGCATTAGGGGCCCCAAGCAATGCCTGGATCGAGAGGAGAATGGTGCGGATTTGTAGAGCTGGAGACCAGTTTTCTGTTATTGAAGGGAACAAAGTTAGTTTTATTCCATTTCGCGCTAGCAGGGGCTGTGTGTTCTGCTAATACTGCCCATGAGGCGAGTGAGGTTTTTGTCATACTTTTCAAGACGTCAAGACAAATCCTTCCGATCCCGTCAATGTTGGGGTGATAAATCTTTGTCTGGAACAGAACCTGGGGAGGGGCCATTGGATAATCTTCCGGCAGGAAGAGTTGTAGCTTGAAAATTCCTCCTGAAGAACTTGTTAGCTTGAGCGCAAGGCTTTGATTGTAATATATAAACAAGCACTCAAGGCATCTATGTATCAAATACCCCATACCTTCATAAGGCGAGTCGGCCGGCCCTTCAAGGGTAACATCAAAGTGACGCAGATTGTCTTCCCTGGGCTTTGCAGTGATACCGGGAACACTTTTTGACCAGAATAAAAAGAAGGAAAAGCATGTCGTAATTAGCCATCCAGAGTTGCAAGAGCATATCAACTCAAGGGGCACTTAATAGGACAGTGAACAACTCACGGTTCGGTCATCAACCGCTGAGTCTCTTTGACTATTCTCTTAGGCAACTCCATTGTGCAAGCTACTGACCAGGCGCGTCTGAAGGGCTACGAACAAAATCAGAGTCCTTATCACCGGAAAGGATGAATAAGGCAAGCAGAATAGTCGGTTAATGCTACTGGCAAGTATGTTTCAAAACGAAGAGTAACGCGCTTGACAAAAAAAAGTTCGTCTTGGCGTGGTAGATGGAGGGGTAGGCGAGGGGTAGGCGGGGGAAGCAAATAGCAAAGAGAGCTCCCAGGCACAAGGAGAGCCAACAAGCCAGATAATGTGGAAGGCAAAATGAGACAAGCTTTCAAATCGATGGGAGACTAGAAGGGATTTCGTTTCAAACTCCTCGTCCTGTCCCTAATCAATGAAGGTTGGGAGTAGAGCAACCAATGACCTAGTACCCGTGGGTCGGGCTGGAGGATGTTCCGTGCCGTTGTTGACATGCCCATAAATATCAAGTCTCCTTTGACTGTATATACATAATGCATGTCGCCGAAGCAAATTGAAATTGGCAACTACGAAAGTACTAGTAATCGTTCATTTTGATAGATTTTACAACTCTAATTTGAGCTGCCAGAGCCATGAAACTACCCATTTTGGTGTCACCATACCAGTGCTGTTGGAGTATACTACGGCCTACCAACCCAACTACCCGATGTCCTAGGTGGGTTGGGCAATCCATAAGGTATTTTCCAGCCTAGTTCAGTCAAAATAGCTCATATTACTTACATATTTATAGGTAAAATCTTTGAAGTTCTCAGAACGTCTCATATAGTATATCTTGGGCATTTTATCTGGGAGCTAAAAATACTAACGTAATCAACCACCTAACGCTCGTTTCCACCCAACGCTCGCCTTTGTACAGAAGCCGCTGCAAAAAATTTTGTCTCGCCAAGATAATTAAAAAACCGCTATATTAGATAGTGAGCACCACCACAGTATTAAAATGTAATAAAACTACCCCTCATTTAAAATATAAGAGGCTCCCACCTAGTTTCTATTGCCTCAGTTTGTTATCTTTTCATCATCAGTGCTGCTTTCAATCATGGCTCCCAATACTGATATCGCCACTCGGGCGCTCGTGGTGGCTCTCAAATCACCTTATATTGCAAAAACTACCACTGAGATCATGAATATTACAAATCTCTCTGCTCGCCAAATCAACCGTATATATGCCAGAGCTTTTGAACGTGGCTTCAACCCTGATCTCCTCTATCTTACTATCCGTGATGAATTCCTTCAAGATGCCCCCCGCAGTGGCAGACCTACAAAACAGACTTCTCCTATTTGAGAGCAAGTATTAGCGAAGGTGCGCCGAAATCGATATGGACGGGAGAAATCCTGTGCTGATATGGCTCTTGAGCTCAGTGAGGAGGGCTTTAATATTGCACCCAACACTGTATGGAAGATCTTGCGAAAAGCAGGCATGAAAAAGACCAAACCTACTCGAAAACCTGGCTTGACCAATAAAATGAAACATGAACGACTTCAGTGGTGTCTAGATCATCAAGATTGGACTCTAGAAGATTGGAAAAGAGTTATATGGTCAGATGAGGCATCTGTTATATTGCTTCATCGCCGTGGAGGATATCGAATTTGGAGAACCTCCAAGGAAAGATTCTCTCGAAGTTGCATACGCGAGCGATGGAAGGGGTCTTCAGAGTTCATATTCTGGGGTTGTTTCTCATATGATAAAAAGGGTCCCTGTCACTGCTGGAGTCCGGAAACTGCTCAAGAAAAGGCTCAGTCAGTAAAGGATATAGATTCTCTTAATGAAATGATGGAACCAATCAAGAAAGCAGAATGGGAGCTTCAAAATGGAATACGACGTTTAAACCTTCGTCAACTGCCAGGACCTCAACCAATATGGAAGTGGAAGAAAGAGACAGGCAAGCTATCCCGTGGCAAAAGTAATGGAATTGATTGGTATCGATATCAGGTCAAAATCCTTCTTCCAAAGCTCTTTCCCTTTGCCAATGAGTGTGAAAAGGAACGTCCAAATACCATTGTCCAGGAGGATCGAGCTCCTGCTCATGATCACTATATCCAACATCATATATATGAGATTCATCACATTCAACGGATGCTCTGGTGTGCGAATTCCCCAGATCTCAATACGATTGAACCTGCTTGGACCTGGATGAAACGAAAAACAACTGTCAAAGGAGCTCCACAGAACCGGGCAGCAGCTATAGCAATATGGGAAAGAACATGGAGGGATCTACCACAGGAGCAGATTCAGGCTTGGATAGAGCGGATTCCTGTTCATATTAAGAAGGTTATAGAGTTAGAAGGTGGCAATGAATATAAGGAAGGAAGACTTCACTAATTACACTGTAACTTACTTATTAATTTGAATGATAATAAAAGAATGAGATACAGTGATGTGGCTGTGATTCAGAAGGTTTGAAAACTATGAGAAGTTTCTGAAGAGTTGAATGTATATATTTAAATATTAAAATATGAGAGAATTTGCTCTGAATTGTATGAAATTAACTTTGAAGTTTTGAAACCACTTTTAATATTGTTCTCATTCAGAGCTTTCATATGAGCTGCTGAATATAGAGTCAAAAACTTTTTCTTATTAATGTAATTAATATCAAACTGCATTTGCTCTTTCATCTGTTGTTTGTACATCTTCTTTAGAAAAGAGAAACAGCTAACATTTAAAGATTGAAGAAGATGAAATGAATGAAATGGTATATAAAAAGTAATAATATTGTTTTCAAAGCAGAATTGATCAAATTCAGCTGAAATATGACTTTCATATTCATTAAGAATCAAGAATTTCGTGGGTAGTTGTAAGGATGTAAAGAGGTGAGGATGTATGTATGTATGTATAGGTTTAACGTCCCGGAGAAAACACGGGCAGCGCCTGTATTTCAGAAGCCTCCCGAAGGGCATGGAGACGTGCTACGCTGGAGAGATTTCTATGTACACAGAGAGAGAGAGAAAACAGAATCCCGGTGGCAACTCTTGAGAAGACTCAGGTGGGCTCCACCTTCGGCACATTGGCCACATCCCCCACCCCCTGAATGTTTGCAACGATTGCCTGCCGCACAGCATATGGCTGTAGCCGGGCGACCCGTTTCTCTGGCTGGAGGGTGACGAGGACTCGTGGGTCCTCCTGCTGTTTTGTGCCCCCTGTGGGGCCCCCTGGCTGACTGGCGCTTTTGGGCTGCAGGCTAGCTCCACTAGCCCTGCCTGCCGAGGAAGCCGCAGTCTTGGCAGGGGCAACCCCAGGGAGGGCAGAGTTTTTCCCCCTCTGAGCAACACCCGCCCAGGTAGTCGGCTCCCTCGCAGCTGTCTTTGCTGCATTTGGCTGCGGATGAGTATCCGGGGCAGCACCCCCTCTCAGAATTGATGCTGCACTCAGATCTGCTGTCACATACTTGACAAACCTCTCACAGAAGATTCGGGCAAAGTTCTGACTGACTGACTGCTTCTCCTCCTCAACCCAGCTGTCCAGAGTCTTCGCCAATCTGATGAGGGCCTTCTGCTGCAGGTTCTGTTGCTGCTGAGCCTCCTCAAACTGCTTCTGCAGCCGAGAGGTGGCCGTGGGGATGCTGTCGCTGGCTCCTTTGAGGACTGGGGGAGGCATTGTGACAGTCTTCCTCTGCCTCTTGCCAGCCTTTCCAGCGACAAAATTGGCCGGTGACTCCGGCTCCAGTGGCCTGGTGTAGGCCGTGTCGATGTCCTTGGGCGGACGGGAGGGCGTTGAGGGCTCCATGACCACTCAACCTGTGCAGTACACACATGTAGAGAGATCGCAGAGGGCGTGCGATGATATTGAACGGGTTGGAGGGTTAAAATTATACGAAAAACAGTTGGAAAAGTGGAAAATTCAAATGTACCCCTACGTTCGTGGGTAGTTGTAAGGATGTTATTTGTGAGAATGTATGATGTGGAATCTCACTGAGTGGATTAAATGACTCATGTTAAGAATTCAGATCACTAACTCTCATTTATTACAAATTCATTAAAATATTGTAATATCAGATCAATCTAAGACTCATTAAAATTCATTTTTCACTGATATTTGATGTGAAGAGGTAGTAATATAGTGGAAATTTCAACTGCTACACATCCACTGAAATGGCATGATATGGATAAGTAATAAAAGTAATGTCAAAACACCAAGCAGATTACTATTCATATAGGGAAAGGTGGCAATATTGAAGGTTCGCGCTGTCAAAAGGTTAATATCCACTTTCTGTACGGCCCTGGCACTGTACGGAAAAAATCACCGAACAGGCCCTAAGAGATCATGAGTACATGGCCGGAAGGCAATGGAATTTGATTACACATACCGTGAACCTCCTAGCTGTTCTTGTTCTCCAGCGACGAGAGGCTTCTGCTCCGCCGTCTACCTTTTATCATAGCTACCTGGCCAATCGAAGTCCCAGTTTGGGATAATTCTCGCCAATCAGCATCCATGGATGTTCCCGAGGTTTCAAATTACCTCCTGGTCTGCGTACTAGTATTTCAAGGGTTGCCCTCAATGAAATTCTCCACGTGAGCTTCTGTGTTAACCGTGGGAGGGAAGCATCTCAAGATGTACTTAGCTACTAGTATCTTAGGAAAGGGGCATTGGTGGGTAGTACTAGTATACATCAGGTTTTGAGGAACCTTTTCGGGTAAACAATATAGAGCTCGCAATATTACGTTGTAACTATCCCTGTAAGAGGGTTGAACCTTGGTTGGTTGTTATGATCTATCTAGTAGCTAGCGGCAACTAATATATCCATGTGTGTGCGAGTCACGTGTGGTAGGGCTTGTGTAGGACCTCCAACAATCCCGACTGCTTTCATTACATACTTGATCCTCCCATGCATTCAGAGGATGACACTCTCAAGGACTTCGGAAATTCGATATCAGTCCAGGTGCATTGGCCTGTATTTTCTCCGTTGACCTTGTATTTGCCTTTCTTCTGGGTGTCCTTTTTAATTTGAGAAGTCATATTCCCCCCCTCTGTGATGAGATAACGCAATACACGTCCCATAGTTAATAAAGCATTCATTCT